AATGGTGCTGGGAAAAATGGACAGCGACATGCAAAAGAATGAACCTGGACCACTTTTTACACCATATACTAAAATAAACTCAAAATGGATGAGGGACCTAAACCTAAGACAGGAAGCCATCAAAATCCTATAGGAGAAAGCAGACAAAGACCTCTTTGACCTCTGCTGCAGCAACTTCTTACTCAGCACATCTCTGGAGGCAAGGGAAATAAAAGCAAAAATGAACTATTGGGACCTCATCAAAATAAAAAGTTTATGCACAGTGAAGGAAACAATCAGCAAAACTAAAAGGCAACAACAAAATGGGAGAAGATACTTGCAAATGACCTATCAGATAAAGGGTTAATATCCAAAATCTATAAATAACCTATCAAACTCAATGGGCAAAAGACATGAATAGACACTTCTCCAAAGAAGACACCCAGATGGCAAACTGACACATGAAAAAATGCTCAACATCATTCATCATCAGGGAAATACAAATCAAAACCATAATGAGATACCACCTCACACCTGTCAGAATGGCTAACATTAACAACTCAGGCAACGATAGATGTTGGCGAGGATGCAGAGAAAGGGATCTTTTTGTACTGCTGCTGGGAATGCAAACTGGCACAGCCACTCTGGAAAATAGCATGGAGGTTCCTCAAGAAATTAAAAGTAGAACTACCCTATGACCCAGAAATTGCACTACTAGGTACTTATCCAAGGGATATAGGTGTGCTGCTTCGAAGGGGCACATGCACCCCAATGTTTATAGCAACACTATCAACAATAGCCAAAGTATGGAAAGAGCCCAAATGTCCATTGATGGGTGAATGGATAAAGAAGATGTGGTGTATATATATACAATGGCATATTACTCAGCAATCAAAAAGAACGAAATCTTGCCATTTGCAACTACCTGAATAAAACTAGAAGGTATTATGCTAAGTGAAATTAGAGCAAGACAACTATCATATGAATTCACTCATATGAGGACTTAAAGACACAGAACAGATGAACCTAAGGGAAGGGAAGCAAAAATAATATAAAAACAGGGAGGGGGACAAAACATAAGAGATCCTTAAATATAAAGAAGAAACAGAGGGTTGCTGGAGGGGTTGTGGGAGGGGGGATGGGCTAAATGGGTAAGGGGCATTAAGGAATCTACTTCGGAAATAGCTATTGCACTATATGCTAACTAACTTGGATGTAAATTAAAAAAAAATGGGGGGCACCTGGGTGGCTTAGTCGGTTGAGCGTCCGACTTTCGCTTGGGTCATGATCTCACGGTTCGTGGGTTCGAGCCCCGCGTCGGGCTCTGTGCTGACTGCCAGCTCAGAGCCTGGAGCCTTTTTCTGTCTGTGACTCCCTCTCTCTCTGACCCTCCCCTGATCAAGCTGTCTCTTTCTCTCTCTCTCTCCTAGAAATAAATAAAACATTTAAAAAATATATAAAATGGAAGTCAGAAAAAAAACTAATTTCCAATAGTAATTACCACCAAAATTTCAAAGTAATGATGCATGTAAAGGATACTTTGACATCTCTACAATTCCCATATTTTGATAATAAAATATCTGTTATTTCTCCTGGTTGGTTACAAAACTGCAAGTATTGCTGGTAATATTGTCATTTGTTACCTACATTTACAACCGGGGAGAAAGCTTTATTTCCCCCCAAAGTGGAGGTTAGTAATTACATACTTTTTTTTCATTCAAGTTCTCTGACCCTCTGAATTCTATCTACAGATCTCTTGGGCTAAGATCTACAGATTTATATTATTGAAAATAAACTACGTAGGAGAAAAAAATATGGCATAAATGGACTGTCGCTTCAGCTATTAGGTCTTCAAAGACCAGCTTTTCTCTTGACTGCAGCTTCATGACCCTAGATGATAACCACGCAGCTAAGCCACTTCCTGACTTTCAGAAACTATATGAAATAATATCTGTTGGGGTTAAGTGGCTAATTTCTGGGGTAATTTGTTACTCACCAGTAGATAACATCACCGTGGGCAACCAGGATTTCTGCTTACTTAAGAAGGCGGCTACCACCACCTCTCCTAAATCTAGACGACAGGGCCTAAAGTGCCATTTTGGCAATGGACTTTGTCACAAAGCCTTAAAGTGGTTTCTGTACATCTGTTTCTCCACAGTGCCAGAGGCTGACCACAGAAGGAAAGTGCCTCCTGTGGATATTCCTATGGTCGATGACACAGTGCCGGTCAGGACAAAGAGGCTGGGACCCAGGCTCCAGCCCAGTACCTCCAAACGTCTGGGAAACCGTAAGGACGTTTCGTGGTTTTCCTAGGCCTTTGTACTTGATCTAGAGTACAGCTATCATACTCCCTTATTGTGTAGTCCCAATGGGTAGAGTAGATATAAAAAGGCTTTGGAAAAGGGTTAACCTGCTATACAACTTCTAGACTGTAACAACATGGTCATCATCACCCCTTTGCACTCTGAGAGAATGGAAGGATTTGGATTTTCTATCACTGCTCTTAGTAGAAAGCAAGAGGTCACTTGGGAGAGAAGCAAAGACTCTATACTACAAGGTGCAAACACAAATGTTGCCTGGGTACAGGAGGGCAGCAAAAACGCACAAGTCCGGCTAGAGGAGGGGGCTGGGAATGACGGTGGGCAAGGGCGTGCACATGGCAAACTAGAGCTCGTGCCCTCCCTGAAAGAAATTTTAGAACGTTGTTTTATGCCAACAAACCAACTCTGCCTACTGAATTTGATCCAAACACCCCGGTGTACCAAGTCCTGTACTGAGCCCCATAAGCCTTTTTTTTTTTTTTTTTTTTTTTGCTAAGAGTATAGATGTGTATCAATCTCTATATATGATGTTGATATTAATGTAGATATGAATATGGAGGATTACACCATCATTTCCTTTGCAGATGCTAGAAGGAACCTATCTGTGTATAGATCCAGGCATCCATTAAATCCACACACATTAATGGGATACCCACTATAAAAAGCTACACACTGTGCCTCATACCAATTCTATTGTGCCACATTTTGTACTTTAAATCCTTCTATTTTGCACTTCACCAAGTTTGGGTTATTTGTAACAGTACCGTATTTGCAGGTAATATACATCCTCTATTTTTAGAAACGAGTTCCAGTCCCAAATCCACAAATAAAGAATTATTATAATAATAGCATATTCATGAAAAGCAAATTACTTATCTTGGCGTTTAACATCCTTGTAACTATTCCTGTACTTTTAATGTCAACAGAAAAAAAGCAATGTCTAAGTCTGGCTGATATGGTAAATTAATGTTAATAACAGTTTTGACACTAATAGCAAGTTTTAAAAAGAAAAACCTCCAGACTCGAAGCTGGATTTCATTTCTTAAAAGTCACCGCGGCTCGCTGTCACCAGACTCCTCTAGAACAATTCCCACCACGATTTCACCTTCACTGGGAGCCTGAAATGGCGAAGGTGTACCAGGTTGCTGTGAAATTATGTTCCCTCCCTGCCTGTGCTCACTCCAGGTGGAGAAAACCTCCACGCCCTTGAGTTACGACACCAGGGCTTCTCCACGGAGACACATTTCCGAATCCCTGTAAGCACATGAATACCCACCTGCTTTCATTCAAAACAAAGCCCTAGGGGTGTGTCCACCCCCTGGAAGGGAGTTGTGAATGGTGAACTATTAAGGTACACACTGAACTAATGGGAACTTTTAGACCCGATGTTATAGATCGTGAAATCCCAGAGAACAGCTGCCACAGTTTCTCTCCACGTTCTTCCCTAGCGCTGTGCCCATACAAGGACATGGATACGTGGCCCATGAATTAAACGGATGTGAGCTGAAAACTTGAAAAGGAACCCAGCACTTGGCTCCTCCACTGTTGCTAGCTCTTTCTAGAAGTCATTGAAAGCTCAAGCAGCCCCTTGCAAACCCTCTGCCCCTCTCAGACTCCACCAATGGGACCTGATTGGCCCACAACACCCACCTCTATAATCATTCAGAGGCCACTAGTCTTTAAGCAAAGCATCTCTTCCACTTTCTCAAACGTTGTTCTTTTTCTATTACTAATTGAGTGTTTTACTTTTAGATAATCCTATAATGAACCAGCTCAAATGAGCAGAGAGGCAGCAGTGACAACCCATCAATAAAATAATTAAGCCAAAGTGGATTTTGTTAGAGACTTCTCATGTCATAATAGAAAATCCAGGCTACTTAAAATCAAGGAAATAAAATGGAATTGCTTCCTTTTGTTTTAAAAAGCAAGGTTAGCTTTAAAAGATCTTTCACAGAACCCTCATTAACACTGTTGACGATACTGGTTCTTTACTCTCTAAGTACATGCCCAATAGAAATACCAGTGAAATACAAGGTAGTTTCCAGAATTTTCTTTTCCTTTTTCATAGCTTTCTCTCAGAATTGTCTGTAGATTTGAGAGAAGAGTCTCTGTACTTTCTCTATTTTAAGATTTAGATGAATGGTCTCAGTCCCCAAAGACTTTCTCCCAACACACACATGCCATGGGAAAAACAGGAAAGTCAGGACACGACAGTGTAGATATAGGGCAAAATCCTACGTCTTCTCTTAAAGCTGATGGAAGAGGAGGGTTCCTGAGAAAAACTGACCAAGGCAGCAAGGTTTCTTTTGCTCCTTCCTCCCCAGGGTGATCCCAGAGCCCACTAGCTTTGTCTCACAACACAAATTCAAGGACACCACTGACCCACTTGACTCTGACCCCTAAGCTTTGCCTCATTTCCAACTGAGAGACTACAGTGAGCTAGAGAACCAGCCTCTACAGTAACATTCAAAAATTACCAAATGACTTCAAGGTCTGGACAAGAAATAGACCCGAACTGGCTTTGGGTGCTATGGGGTGCCATATTGAGGGATAAAGCAGAACCTAAATACATGATGTAGACCTGAAGCCCCTCAGGCTGATGCCCAAATTGGACTAAGGGACACCTTGAAGTGGTTCCATGAAAAGGAAGAGAAACAGGAAATGGCCATCACTGCAGGGCCAAGTGAACTAGTTACATACCCATGCACCGTCAGGCCCGAACAGCTCTAGGAAGTTGCCGATGAATTCTCTCGACTTCTCTTCCCACTTCTGAATTAGATCATGACTCTTTTCTTCCACTCTGTTGACAAATTCTTTTGATCGTTCCTCCACGTTCTTGACCTTTTCCTTCATCTTGTCTACCTGGTTTTGGAAGCGGTACTTCTTCTCCTGGTCAAAAATTAAAGGAGAAAGAATGATTCATCCACAAGGGCATGAGAGAGACCAGTCATTCACACTAATGGTCATTTTATTTCAACTCCTATTTGTTCTTAACCTAAAGAGTCAGGATGTTGCTATTTCCAAGGGCTAGATTGACGGGAAGGCACATCTCTTCTAAGAAAAGTCATTTGTCATTAGTCTACTTGGCTGTGTAAAGTGAAATACAAGTGATTTTAATATTCCCTGTCTTGTAAACATCAGCACTGAAGTTGCTTATATAAGAAACAAAAACATGCACTTGCTGCTTATTACAGGTAGATATTGGGAAAACACATCCCCAAATTCTCCTGGGATTTAGACAAAAGTATGAGTTGTACATAGAATGGTCATTCACAGGCTGCCTGAATTCTCTGTTTTACTGGGACACTGTTAAAACCAGTACTGTTTGGAATAAATAGGCCACTGGCTGGGCCTTAAAACCCATGTGTTACAATTTTCTTTGTAATGACATTTTCCATTAAGCTAATTGAGCTGCATCTGTTTCCTTGGTGATGAAGAAGGACTGAGATTTTGTTCTTCTTACAACCCTTACACAGCGATGCTATACCTACATGCCTGAAAGGTCCTGTATGTTGGGCAGGTCAGAGGCCACCTCTAAACCTCAGTTTCCTCATCTGTTAAGTGGGGATAATTTTCATCCCTACCCCATCGAGTTGCTGTAACAATTAGAGAAGATTATGCACGTACAGCGTTTGGCACAAAGTCTGGCATTTAGTAAAAACTCAGTATGTGTTGGCTGTTTGATTAGAATTAAGCAGCATAAGCATTTAATTGTGTTACCCAGGAGTGTTATCAAAACCATGAAAATAACATGAGATGAAGGGTCTTCCCCTCGATGGAGTCATGAAATATTTTCTCCTCGAGGGGCAATAAAGTTTTTTCTGCACGACATGGGACTAAAGTTCCTATCTCAGAATCCTTGGGGACACTCGGAATACTGCAAACTAGGTCAGGATTCCCAGACTAAAGCATACCACCATCTCAGGGTGGGATGTGAGCGCGGTACGTGCTGCCACTCGGCTACACGTACCACATGAGCGGCATGTATGGCTCTCAGGGGCAGCAAGGACGGGACTGGGTGCCACGAAGTTGGAGGCTGCCACCTGCCTGCGCCTCTACTGTGCTTGAGGGACCTCGGCCAGGTGCCCTCTGAGCTCAGCTTTACTCCAGTCTCACTGGGGAGGCTTGAACTGGGTGAACGGCTCCTCTCAGGTTCCTGCCACCTCTGAGGTTCTGTGATTCATTGACATGCCCGTCGAGCACACTTGATTTTCCCTCTGAGCTGCAGCCAGGCCTGCTGTCACAGAAGGACCATGAGCACATCCACAGCGACTACCTGGTTCCTTGAACTAAGCGGCTTATCTAAAGGCTGTTAGAACAGAACGAGCAGTAACTTTTGGAAATGGTTTGCCATGCTCGGATGGCTGACTGAATTCAATTTAAAAGAACAGGCAGTTTAATTTATTGAAATAACCAGGGCTTTATTCTCTCGAAGACACCAAGTAATCACTCTGATGGAATTCTTTTCAGCCCCTAGTTCTGGTGCCATGTGAACCCAACATTTTCTGTTTTGTTGCCCGACTTGTGAGAAGCCAGAGTCTAGACTCCCAATGCCCCCTGCCTCATGAGGACAAATAACCATCCTTGACTGACAAATGAACAAACCCCTCCTCCTCTGGAAGGTACCAATGATCGATTTGCGTAAAAGCCGCTGGACATCACGGCTGCACATCGCTGTAAGCACCTAGCTTTGTAGACCGATCAACTCTTTGAAGATACGATACCTACGGGGGGTGGGGGTGTGGAAGTTCTGCGTGGAGGAAAAGTTCTTCTTTCAACAAACTCTGCCACCACCTCCGAGTCTGGGCAACCACAGTGGTCCAGCTGCACTAACATCACCTCTAGCAACTGAGCCGGCCCTCTTCACTTTTTACCTGCCTGTTTTAGTTGGTTTAAAGTTGTTTTAACAGTTACTCTGTTATTAAACTAACAGCAGCTCTGTGGGGACAACACGGCACAAATACAAAAGGAAGCAAAAGCCTTGTTTAAGTTGCTGTAATTTCTCTGGATGATGATGATGATGATGATGATGATGGCTGTTAAGTTTTCTAATGAACATCTGTAAGGCCTTAATACGATGAAAATTTTAAATTCATTTCCTCTGGGTTTAGCTTTTCACTGCCTTTGCCTGCCTGCCTTCCTTTCCCGAGGGCCCATCTCCCAGAAATCCTTCGCTAAAGTCTGAGAACAGTAAAAGAGGGAGGGTGGGGGGCAAGGGGAAGGAAGGCGGCTCCTTTAGAACATGTGGAGCTCACTACCCTGTGCTTTGGTTGACTTAGGTTAGCCCTTCGGACAGTGGTTTCTCCATCTGGAAAATGGGGATAATACATCATTGGGTCGTTGCGCAAACTGAATATTGGGTCATTGAGACAATGAATATAAAACATCAGGAAGACTGTGTGGCACTGGAAGTTAAATAAAAAATCTTTTAAAAAGCACACTGCATGGCATATAGTATACCTCTAACAAACACATGGCGGCGGTGCTTGAGTGACACGGCAGTCGTCACAGGATAGCGGGTGGCACACTTACATTTATAAAGCTGACATTTAGTTCCTTGGCTGTGTACCCTCTCTGGAGGTTGCGTCGGGCATAAACATCATAGTCACGGACGATTCTGGTGATGATGTCTGATGTTGAGATGCCTTCCGTTCTCTGCGTTGGAACAAACATTCCTGTTCAAATAGTTAAAAGGAGAGAAAAAGAAAAAAGTAAGACCCATTTTCTTTAATAGCTCTCCTTTCCGGGACAGAGGTGCAGCTCCTGGGTGCGTGAGACAGGCTTTCACACGTGGCCCCAGCTGGCTCTTCCACGCCCAGTTCCGGACACTTCTTCCCTGCCACTAACACTGCGTGCTCGTCACCCTGCACCTGCTCCCTGGAGGCAGCAGGCACTCACCCGGCTCCTGGCAATGACCCTAACTCAAGCTTCAGATCCCCTGTCCCCCTCGCACCATCCAGGGGGCTTTGCAGTCTGTGGGTCCAGCTTCAAGGTCGTGTCCCTGGGAAGTCTTTTCCTGCCATCACCAAGCAGAATCCACAACCTCTAGGATACAAACGTGGCTTCCATCAACACAAGTATTTTAGATACTGGTCTCCTTGTCAAAAGGGGAACATTCTGAAAGTAGAGATTAGGCCTCAACTGTCTCTGCATTATCAGCCCCCAGTTCAGCGCCCATTTCTGGCACATGGAAGGTGCTTGATCAATGCAAATGAAACACATAAGTGAATAGAGAATAACAACTGAGCCAATGAATTAGATCACGGCCCAACTTCCCTTCTTCCCTAAGGAAGTCTGCATCTCATGAGACTAAGGAAAGGATGAAAAAAGTGTACTATTTGGTTGTCTCTGATTGGAAGACATGCCCTTGGGATGCTAGGTGATTTTATCTCCCTAAGAACAGTCTACTCTGCGTGATGGTTTCACCACTCAAGACTCTTTCATTTAGAACACGTGGGACCCAGTGAAAATAAGCACAGAGAATGCCAAGTTCTAAGAGACTTTCTTTAATGTCCTCAGAGATCTATTAGGGTGAAAGAATACAGGGCTATCAGGAGGTCGCAAATGTTATCGAGACAAGAATGTGGTTTATGCTTACACTTGTGCTGTCAACCGAAATGACATGTTGGCAATTAAGATATTTCTACCTAGTGTGATTATGGCCACTAAGGCAGAGATATCAGGGGTGGGATGGCATGATGGACAGGGCCTAGGGACAAGGGTACTGGGTTCTCAGTTTGGAGACTTGGGCAAGACTCACGCCTCAGAAGGCAAGTTACTTAACCTCAGTCTCCAAAAGTGAGAAATAAGGTAGCTGGAAAAGATGGCCTTGGGATCATCTGTGCCACCTCCCTCTCCCTCACTCAACCGTGTCCAATCGGTCTCCTTCCAGGCACCAACCTACCTCCTAAAAAGCTCTCCGATTCACCTACTTTTCTTCACCATCTGTCTAAACCAATCTAACACCATCTAGTTCAAAGATTACAGCAAGAGCCTCAAAACCGGTTTCCAGTGATGTCATTTTTGGTGCCCTCACTCCACTCTTCATATGACAAGGGCCACAGAGCAGCCGTCAAAACATATGCCAGACAGCAGCCCAACAGCCTTCAGTGGCTTTCTAGAGTGCTCAGAATTCCCATCAAACCCTTGCCTTGGCTCTGTGGCAGCTTGCTTTATCTCCCCCCGCCCCCGCCACCCAACGCTCCCCAGTCCCATCTCAGACCCTCTCCGCCACTTCACTGCCCGAGCCAAGGCCCCTGGGCCATGCCGCTGTAGGGGGCACCATTCTCAGCGGATTCTGTGGAGCTGTGCGACACAGTGGGCCTGCCTGAGCTGCCCGACACTGGGCTTCAGTGTTCTGAGAGGGCTGGCCCCGTGCCCTCTGCCACAAATGTCCTCTCTACCCAGCTAACTCTCATTCATCCACTGCGTTTCACCTTTACGTCATTTCCTCAAAGCGATCTCTCAACCCCCAGACTGGCTCTTCTGGCTTCTTCTCTGCCGTGGCCCACTGCTCTTTTCCTTCAAATATTCCAAGGTCTGTATAAAACAGCTTATTCCGCACTTAACAATAAGCTACATGAGGGAAAGAACTGCTCCTGTGTTCATCTCCTCCGTATTCTCAGCACCGGGTGACAAGCAGGCACTGTAAGAGTATTTGCTGAAGGGCTGAATAGATGGATACTGATCTCTGAGTGCCTTTCCAAATCCAGTTCTCTCTGATTCTATTGACATTGATGAACCTTCCGGGGTTCTGGCCCCTGCTAGGGTGTCCCTTGGAGCTCTCTTTTGGTATCATCTGCACATTCACAGTATCAGCAGCAGGTGGGCACTGCTGATGTCTGGGATCAAGCATCGAGTTTCTCAGTCTGTGGCTCAAAGGACAGAGCTGGGGTTTACTCCTATGCCCAAAACTTCTTTTATCGCCTTCTGAGAACATGGACTCCAACAAAGAAACCAAATGGCTGTGCAGGGGCTCTGGTGGGCAGGGAGCACTGAGTGGTCCCAAGCAGGGGGGGAGGGGGAAGGGGGTGCTGACACAACATCTCCACCTTGCTGGGAGCCGCAGGGGGCTTTCCGGTGAGCGCCGTGTCCCATCTGTCAGCAGGCAGCCACTTTTCCCACACCCCCGCTGCCTGGTGACATGTTACGAAGATTCTCTAGTTACTAATAGATTTTAGCAAGTCAATTAGACACTGGTGACATGAGCTCACCCTCTCTGTGAAGCCGCAGAGACCTCGCTGAGTAACCAAAGGTTTAGGGTGAGGACAGATTTGCTTCGGCTGGTGAGGAGGTAGGTCTCTGAAAGGAGCCAAGCCCTCCGCTGACATAATGAAGCACCCGGCTTCCTCCAAATCCTAATTAGTGCTCTGCTAAAAATATGCAGTAATGAGCACGATCAGAGGACCTTTTTTATCACGCTTTCCCGAATTGCAGTGTTTGGTTATGGAGCTATTTTAGGAAGCAGCCAGGCACATGTTAATGAAGGAAACTTGCGACAGTAGTAGGCAGTATTAGCAGGATGACGGGGACGGTGGGCCTGACAGGCTACTTCGTTTCAGCTCCATCCTCTCATCCAGCTTTGCTGGAGGGTTTTGACATGTAGTTCTGACAAGCAAGGCAGAATACTGTGAAGTTTCGTTCCTGCCCTCAATATCTCTGGCTTCATTTAAGGTGACTTTTGCCTTTCAAAATAGACCTCAATTAGAGTGTAAAAGCCACATGTGGAAGCTTGAGCCATTTCTGAGCAGCTTTCTCTCACAGTGAATGCTCGGCCCTTGTCTCCTGTGGCTCTCCCTTGGTGAGGGATCGGCAGAGCAGATCAGTGGCCCTGTGCGTACGTGAAGTCACACACAGCCTTGTGCCTGTGCTCCCAGGGCAAGTGGAATACCACCTGACTCTTCGCTGCAAAGGTGGGAATTAGGGTAGAGTATGGGCACAGTCCCCTCTGCCTGGAATCTTGGCGGGCCTTAATGACTTGCTTGTAACAAACAGGTGACACTGGCTGACCTCCAAGGCTAGGGTAGCAGTGTGTGTATGTGCAGTGGAATACTACTTAGCTAGAAAAAGGAATGAGATCTTGCCATTTGCAACGACATGGGTGGATCTAGAGGGTGTAATGCCAAGTGAAATCAAAGACAAATACCGTACGATTTCACTCATATGTGGAATTTAAGAAACAAACAAATGAGCAAAGGGGGAAAAATGAGAGACAAACCAAGAAACAGACTCTTCACTGTAGAAAACAGATGGTTTCTAGAGGGGAGGTGGGTGGGGGATGGGTGCAACAGGCAATGAGGATTAAGAGCGTGCAGCTATGATGATAGGCACTGAGTCATGTGTAGAATTACTGAGTTGCTGTTGTACACCTGAAACTAAACACTATTTTTTTTTTTATTTAAATTTTAGTTCACGTACAGTGGTTTCAGGAATAGAATTCCGTGATTCGTCACTAACACCCAGTGCTCATCACAAGTGCCCTTCTTACTACCCACCACCCATCTAGCCCACCCCCACCCACTCCCTCCACCAACCCAGTTTGTTCTCTATCATTAAGAGTCTCTTGTGGTTTGTTTCCCCCTCTTCTCTTCACCCCCTTCCCATATGTTCCTGTTTTGTTTCTTAAATTCCACATGAGTGAAGTCATATGGTATTGGTCTTTCTGACGGTATATAACACCGTATGTCAACTATAGATGAAAGAAGGAGGGAGGAAGGGAGGAAGGGAGAGAAAAGAAAAGAAAGGAAGTAAAGAAGAAAGGAAAGAGGAAAGAAAGAGAGAGGAAGAGAAAGGGAGAGAGGGAGAGAGGGAGAGAGAGAGAGAGGGGAGAGAAAGAAGAGAGAAGTTAAAAAGAGAGGTAGATAGATCCTGTGGGGACATGTAGTCACACTGACATGTGACAAGCACCGCTCTATACCAGGTCCTTCATGGTGACTGTAGGGAAGCAGTAGCTGGCTCACAGCTCAGATCCTACAAAGGCTTAAAAAGATCATCATCTCCCCACGCCAGAACCCACCTCCTTACAACTGATGCATCAGCCACTTTGCCCCCGCCTTCTCCCCACCTACTCCTGCCATGTCCCTCAGCAGCCTTCCAAGTCTGGAGCATATGGGGTTTCCTTCTTGGAACTTCTTACAAACAAGACCGGGATGTGAGAATGTCAGGCCTCTTGCTCTTACGCAACGCGCCTGACCGCCACCAGGGGGAGGCCTTTCTGAGAACACAGCGCAGACCAGCCTACCAGCCCTGCTGGGGGTAGCACGGAACCTCGCCAGCGGGCCCCGCAACGGCCTCAGCCAACAGGAACACCATCAGGAAGACCAGGTATATTATAGGTAACAGAATAATTTTCTTGCAATACTATCCAACGTCGTTTTCATTTCTGGGGATGATGTCTGTCCCGAGGCCCTGTCCGTCCTGCCGCGGAAACCTCCGTCACCTCAGGGGAAAGAAGCTGTAGCTGAGAATACAGGAGAGTGCGTTCCGCTTTTGACTTCTGAAACTGGCTCTTTTGAAGGCTCATTTCAAACAGAACAGTTTTGAAAGGTAAGGCTTTCACTTGAAAGAGCCAGGCTTTGAGGACTACAAAAAAAGGTTTTCTAAATCCCAAAAGTGCCCCTTTCATTATTAAGAAGCAGAGGCTGAGTGGACTAGAACGAGGAATGTATTCCTGTAAGGCCTGGACCCGGGAAAACATGAAATTAACCGCGTGGCCACGTCTTCCCCTCCAGGCAGAAGGAAAGCCCCTCCCAAGACCGAGGGGAAAGAACCCAGAGAGGGAGGAGGAGGGGAAGGGCGGAAGTGAGAGAAGGTGAGCAGGGCCTGTCCCTTGGCCCCACTCAGAGGCAAACCCCAGGGGCAGGGACAGGCAAGAGAACCCATTAGACCGCCCAGAGCAGAGGGGCTGGTACCCTATTTACCTCCAGGAACTTTGGGAGAAAATGGTCTCCCGGAGACCCCAGGCGTTGGCAGAAGGCTACTACGGGGGGCCTGGTCACCACAGATGATGGCTGAGCAGGTTTGATACCGTACAGTGAAAGATACGCAAGAACCGGTTCCCCGCCCCACGCCAGGCCAATACACAGGCCCCAGAAACAGAGATCACCCCAGGAGAAAAAGGCCCCAAACTGACTCTACCCAGTCCCCGTGCAGACTGAGAACAGTCGCGATTATTGTAAATGTCCAGGGTGTCTGTCCCTGTCATGTGGGGAAACAGGGGCTCCCGAGTAAGTTCAGCTGCAGAAATGACTCCCGGGCTCCTACCTGGTCGATCCTCTGCCCACAAGAGACCTGCTCATGGCACCTCTCTGACCCAGAATGGCACCTGGCTCTGTGTGACATACGGGATGAAACCCAACAACCCCGTGCTGCCCACCTCCATCTCTGCTCTCACCTCCACGCACCCTACACTGCGTGAACACTCAGCTTCTCCAAATGCACTGTGCTTCATCAACTCCCACCTTCGGGCCTGCCTCCCCGGCCCACAGCACACACCTATCCACAGGCTTCTAATATCCTGATGTCATTATTTTGTCTCTGCCATCTCCCACGGGTGAGAATAGGTCTTATTCATGTTTGCATCCCCTTTCCCTCCAGCAAGTCCTGGCTTGTGGATGCGCTCAGGGAATTCATGGTTTCACCAACCAGAGTCAAAATGATCCAAAGACGGAATGCGCTACCTTGGGAGGTAGGCGCTCCCCCCATCATGGGAGATGCACAAGTCCCAGTTCTACTAGGAAGTGGCAGTGATGCCAAGGAGGGTCTAGGAGACTGGATTTGTGACCCTCAGGAACCCATCCTACCCCAAGAATCTGAAGGTCCGTATATACCAGGAAAAGGCTGTAGTAGCAGTGGGCTGAAAGTAAGGGATGGTGCGGCCAACGTGGGCGGAATGCCAGTGGTCCCCAGGAACAGGGGAAGATGGCTGTGATGGGGGCGGCTCAAGTATAACGGGTGTATCCCGCTTCTTGAAATCTCTCAGTAAAGCAAATGGTAACTCACAAGACCAGGGTGCCGTACAAGCCAGATAACGGTTTAATGTACGTAGGAAGGTATGCTTGGATATGACTTAGAGAGGAGATGTATGATAGAAAGCAAAAGAGCAGAAAACAAACCAGGCCATTAATAATCTACTTCTGCACCTACCTGTAGTTAAAATGCCAATTCCAACCCATCCTTTCCTCAAACTCTTCCTTGCTCCAAGATTCTGAGGCAGCAGTAGCCTTATGGGACCTTAATGGAAGGCAGTCTGATGAAGGAAGGTGGACGGAGAACCTGCGTAATTCAAGCTACTATCTTGCCGCCCCCCCCCTCCCCACCTTGGACATCTCTGCTTTTAGGGTCAGAAAAACCATGTGACCCTACAAGAGGATACAAGTAATTACCTTTGCCCCATCCATCTTTTTAAATAATCCAATGGATAGACTCTGGGGAGGCTGTGTATTTAAAAAATCCTAGCAATGACTATTTTAATTCTTAGGTGATTACTAGAAACCCTGTGACACTGACTGAAAACCTCAGCTCAGGAAAATATTAAGTGTTGGGTGCTGAGTGTATAGCACAGACTATTTTTCCATTATACATCTGCCCAAAAAAGTACCTATGATTTCTGATTCATATTCGCTTGCCTTTTATAAGACAGAGCAACAAAAATGCAAATGCACAGATATAAATGTCAAGATATTTCATTCAGATCACAGTCATCTTTGCAACAAGTCACATGGCAAACCCTTCCATCTTTCTCTGAGATATTGTTGGGCTGTGAGGCTATGGTGGTTTGGAGTAATTTAGGGCATGTAGTTGGCATCTCCTGTCAATAAAAGGGGAGAGACTCAGTGTCCATGATACCAATGGAAGGCAAACAAATTAGATGCAAAGGTTGATAAAGTTCAGCCCCAAATCACCCCTTAATCTAAGTAATTTGAAAAACTCCACAAAACAGAGCGTGGCCCAAATTATCTAGGTAAATGGCCCTACGCCCTGGGTAGTGAGAAGAGCTCTTGCCAACAGAAGACGTCCACCTTAAGCTAACTCCCCATCAGACTCCATTAAAACACCCTCTTGCTGGGGCGCCTGGCTGGCTCAGTCAGAAGAGTGTACAACTCCTGATCTCGGTGGGGTGGGGGTCATGGGTTCAAGCCCCATGCTGGGTGTAGAGATTACTTAAATAAATAAAACTTTTTTTTTTTTTTTAAACACCCGTGACAGCTAGCTCAGAGCCTGGAGCCTGCTTCAGATTCTGTATCTCCCTCTCTCTCTGACCTCCCCTGATCACACTCTCTCTCTCTCAGAAATAAAAAACATTAAAAAAAAATTTTTTTAAAGCACCCTGCTGCTTACCCAGTATTGAATGAGCATGACAAACGTATCAGGGACTATGTGAGGATGTGAAGATGGAGGAGACAGAGCATAGACCATGGCTCCTCATTCTAGCTAGGGACACACACACACACACACACACACATAGAGGAAGAGAGAGCGAGAGAGAGAGCAAGAGAGAGAGAAACTATCAGCATGCCACCAGAAAGGAGCTGAAAAGAAGGTCCATCTGCAAAGAGTGTCCGAGGAGGGTCGCGGGAAGGTGGTGCTGCTGAATTGCGCCCCAGGGAGACAGGGCATGTCAAGGGCTAGGTCCTCAACAAGGCACGGAGTAGGCCCAGATGCTCAGAGCAAGGGCATGCCAGACCCAGAGCAGAACCGGAACCAAGGCACTGAGTAAGGGCGTGCCTGGACTTCAGGGCCTGAGCCCGGCGGGGCAGAGCCCGGGCTGGCAAGACGCAGAGGCTGGGCAGGGCCAGGGGACAGAAACCCAGGAACAAAACCCAGAAGCAGTCAGAGAGACTGAAGGAAATGAGAAGGTCCCAGAAGTGTCCAAGAAGAAGAAGACAAGAGCAGCCATGAAAGGAGAGCGGCCAGCAGGGTCGGTATGTCCAAAGGAAGACAGAATCGAGGCCACTGCATTTGGTGGCCCAAAGGTCATGACCCAAGTGAGGAAGGATGGGGCGGAAATCAGAGTGCAGGGAGCTGAGGAATGAGCGGGAGCGCGCCTGCAGGGTGCCAGGAAGGGACTACTGAACAAGAACGTGACTGGAGGTGGAGGGAGAGGGAGGGCCGAAGGAGGATTTATTTGTTCTCGTAGACTTTCAAATGACTGTAAGCTGAGAAGAAACTACTAGAGAGTGAGAACCCTGCATGGCAAAGAGAGGCAGAATGAAAGCAAACAGGCTCCAGGGAAAGAAGGTAGGTGCAGATAAAGAAGTCAGCCTGGGATAGAAAACCCACCGCTTTCCCTCAGGATGCAGGAGAGGAGGCGAGGATGCAAGGAGTTGCGGGCAAATCAGGGCAGGAAGGGGAAGAGGAGGGAGTAAATGTTACCAAGGAACGTGGAGAATCCCTCTGAGGCTAGAAACCACAGACTCGTTATGATGCCCCAACAGTGATGGCCTTCAAGTCCCCGGCAGCAAAGGAAAAGGAACAGAGAACTTGACAAAGGAATGAACCCCAGGGAGTCTGCAATGGAAGCAAACCCGCCTCTCTCCAGCCTCCTAGTAACTCCCTGGGGCAGACCAGAGTCTCTGACCTCAAAGGAAATGCTTAGTGACAACTGGGACGGCTTCCAAAGCTCAGGCACCGGATCTGCCCTCCGTGACACTGCTCGACAGTGTGAGGAAGGAAACACTTGACCTGATTTCCCAAATATTTACGCATCCTTTCCTTTGCCTCTGCCCGCAGTACCTGAGGATCTAACTATGATGTGACAGGGTGGCTTGTCGCAGGACTGACTCTGGAGACCAGGAGTCCAGGTTGTTAATTACCCACCTGTCTTATTCTGGAAGGAACATTCTTGTCGTATAAAACAATTTCATTGTGGAGAACTAAATGTGAATGAGGAAAATGACTGCCCTCTAAACAATAGGTTTTAGTCTGACAAGCCCTAAAACTGAGCCTCAAACCATAAGGTGAGTCCTTTGGTGCTCAGGTTAATTCTTGTATAAATACCTAAATGGTGTCTGTCCTCCGACCGAGCCTTAGCACTTATCAGAAGAAGCTTGTAGAGGCTACTCGGCAGACATCTGACATTCGGGTGCCTCCCAGGTATGTGCTGCAAGCCTAGGGCAGATGTCTCTTATTCAACCTCAAGGTCATAATGCAGTGGGCAGGCGTGCCTCAGGGAACTCACCAGCTTCTTTGATATGCTTGTACACATCATCAGAGCCAGCAGAAGAGTAGGGAATGTCATCATGAGCCACAAAGTCAATCTGTTGGAGACAAAGAAGAGAGATGTCACAACTAGGATGGATGTGCATGCCTGTGATTTGCACATGCCTCTTTTTTTTTTTTCCAAATGTTTATTTATTTTTGAGAGACATAGCACAAGCTGAGGAAGGGCAGAGAGAGGGAGAGACAGAATCCGAAGCAGCTTCAGGCTCTGAGCTGTCAGCACAGCTCACAGACGGCAAGATCATGACCTGAGCTGAAGTCAGACGCTTAACTGACTGAGCCACCCAGGCGCCCCTGCACATGTCTTTTTGAAATAAAGTGTTTGTTGACTTTATTTCAAAGCAGTTGAAATAAGTAGTTTATAATGTGGATTTGAATCCTTGACTGAGAGGTACTGCCAAATGGCTCCATTTCTGGGAAATAAAGGGAAAGAGATCGGTTTGTCTCTTCTGCTGGCCCCTTTCGCTCTCCTCTGACAGGAGGTTTTGTTGGCCTTCTGTCCTTCTGCCTTTAAGCTTTCTCCTTAGAGAATTCATTTGTTGTTCAGATTTTCCTCACCCTCTGCTGTGGTGAGAGACCCAAACCCTCATTTCCTGTCCCATCATGGCAGTAGGCCCCCTCACATGTGAGCCCCGTTTTATGTGGAAAAATGAATTCACACCTTTTCTGATTTGATCTTCCTGACCACCTTGTGAGGCGGGTGGGGCACATACTACTATTTCCGCTGGGACATAAGGCTGCTGAAGCTATCAAACTTGTCAGATTTGTCCCAGGTCACCCTTTTCTACTTTGCTGCCCTCTGCTGTCACTTTCAAATCAAGCTGTTTGAAATTTACTTCAGCGTGAAAAGCAGCGGCCCCCTTGCTTTCAGTGGCACCTCCAGTTTCCCGGTGTCCCCACGCCTCACACACCTCAGAATGAGCCTTCCGTCCCTACTTCCTTCAGTCTCCATGGCACACGGGTCACAAGGTCCCCTAGGGTGCGAGCGCGTGTCTATGTACGTATGCGAACGTACCTGCACACGCACGTGTGCACCCGTCACGTCCCCCCCACAGCGACTACACCAAATCCAGGGCCCCGTCACCTGGGTTATTAATACCCACTTACACCTGATCTTCCTCACTGCAGGCTCTCTCCCTTCCAAGCCATCCCTCTGTGACACGATGGGAGGGTGGGCGCTTCTTTCTACAGTTTTCGGTCATTCTTATTCCTGCTCATCTTCACTGGCTCCCTGCTTCCTACTCCACCAGGGGAAAACGTGCTGCCAGGCTTTCAGAGCCCTTTGTAATCGGGGTTCTCTCTACCTCGAGGGGTAGCTTAGAAGAGCAGTCTGTGTGCCTGCCCCACCGCTTCCCAGCTACGGGACGCCCAAGTTGGCCGTAAGGATTAAATCACTATTTCTCATCCTTGCTATCTGTGGCATTTTGAGGTGGATAGTTTTTTGAGAGGGGGGTTTGTAAGAAGCTTAGTAGCACCCCTGGCCTTTACCTGCTAGATGTCAGCACCCATCACCAACCCCCGCCCCCAGGTGTGACAGACACTACTACCAAATGTCCCTTGAGGGCAAACTTAAGTCCATTGGAGAATCACTGGATTAAATGAAGTAATTATGTAAAAGTGCTAAAAATCAGCTGGGGCACAGTAAGTACTCAATAAATGCAATCCATTCTTAGTACCGATCAGTGCTCAAACTTAGTCTCTCTTTCTCTCCAATGACAACCAAGTCTCAGGGTAGCCATGAGACTGAACGGGATTCATGAGAGAGCAAAGCCCGCAGCAGAGGGCCTGGCACGCACTAAAATAACACCTGGCGGCCCTCGCTACCATCATTGGTACCCCCATCATGCCTGGCATGAGTGAAACATACAATAGATGCTTAATAAAAATGTGTTAGTGATTGCTGGAAGTAAATCATATTGTAGTTTCTCCTTTTTCTTTTCATTCTTGCTGAGAAATTGTCTCCTCTGCTATTACCCATGCACATTTATCAGTGTTCTCTCTTCTCTTCTGCATCGTGAATTTAAAAATAGAAAAGAAAACTCTTAGAACAGCTTAATCTTGTTTTTTTTGTGCTGCTTATAAAAGGAAAGAATAGCTCCTAATGTGGAGCTGGTAGGGAGATACAAAGCACATAATTTGATGCAGATCAAAAGAATTTCTCATGTTTTCAACTAATAAAAATCTTGTAGCAGTAGGAGTCTCAGGGTCACAGAATCACAGATATAAAGTTCTTTCCTTAAAGGCTGACCCCTGCTCTTCTGAATACAATGTGTGTTCCACGAAAAATGATGCCTATGAATATAGAAGCATCAATAACCATGATGGTGGTGATAATGACAATAACATTTTTGGAGCTGTTATTTGGAGCTATGGGCCAGCCAGTGTTCAAAGGGTTTTACTTAGATGATGCCATTATATCCTTTTTTTTTTTTAATGTTTACTTAATTTTGCAAAAGAGAGAGAGACAGAACGTGAACAGGGGAGGGGCAGAGAGAGAGGAGACACAGAACCCAAAGCAGGCTTCAGGCTCTGAGCTGTCAGCACAGAGCCCCACATGGGGCTCGAACTCACAAACTGTGAGATCATGACCTGAGCTAAAGTTGGTCGCTCAACTGACTGAGCCACCCAGGTGCCCTGGTCTCATTAGATTCTCAAAACAGCCCCACGAGGCAAGTACGAATATTACTCCCACTTTACAGTTTAGGTAAGTGAGTGTGAATACCTCGCTCAAGGTCTCACAGTTAGGAAGGGATAGAGGCCCGACTTGGACATGGGGAGTCTAGCTCAAGCTCCCACAGTGAGGATGTAAGAGGGCATCAGTCCCCAGGCTTGGGCAGATCACAGGTGCTATATCAAGTGACACCACATGATCTTTCCTGGAGTTATCTCTTCTCAAAAGTGGAAGCTTCTGGGCTTTCTGCATGTAAGCTGCAGAACCACACTCCAATTCTGCTACTCAGAGAACATGGAAGAGTAAAGCACCTTGTGTTTTTCCAGAAACTCTGGAGTGAGGGTCCATGGAGCATCTCTAATGACTTCGTCCACATAGCGACAGTGTCTGAGGGCTTCATATCTCTCCGCCTCGTTCATCACAGTGAAACCTTTGAATTTGTGGGTGAGGTCATCACTGCAAACTGAAACAGACACATGCGTTAAAGCCTGCAGCCTGGCCCGGGGCCCGCTCGCGGCCATCCTGCTACATCCAGGGCTTATGCAGCAAAACAAAAGGAGCTCAGCCTGACTTGGTACGTGACATCATCAAACTCAGTTTTGCTTTGTTTTTGTTTTTGTTTTTTCCAGGAACAAAGCATCAGGAAAGCGAAGCAAGATGAAATCCGCCAGCAACTGAGCTTTCCATGTGAGTGCCCATTTTGCCTGCATTCTCTGCTGCAACTTTTATTAAAATCATTCTCCACACTACCTAATGTGACTCTTGTATCTTTTATTTCCTTATCCCACAGTGAAAATTACTATTCAGGGGAAAAAATGACCGAATGAACTGACAGAGAGGAACCAATAGGCCTGAATCCTAGAAGGTCTGAAAAATTATTTCCAATTCCTTTACTAGATCATTGTACTCAGTAACCCATGTGTGATTCCTTACTATGCACATGTGCATACACACACACACACACACACACACACACACTTCTGTTCTCTGGACTGAGGTCCAGTCGCTACACATCAGGCCACACAATCAAGAAGTAGTCAGAAAACAGAAGATGTGATCTAGCAGAATTCATCCTTCTACATTTCTTATCCTTCTTAGATCTCAGGTTCCCGAATCTCCAAATGGGGGTTAGTATCATCTACTGTCAGCCTTAGAATTTTTTTGAGGATTTACATAAAATCGTATTGAAGTAAACTGAACAAAGAATATTATTCATTATCTTATCCATCATATTTGGGTGGGGGTGGTGAGGAAAGGCAGCTTTCCTACATGTCAGCAAGAAATTTCACTGTGGGTACAGCCCCTGTTTATCAGAATCCCAGTGAAGGGCCTACAGCCATTCTATACTGTTTTATGTACACACACCTAACGTATAAGGTTTAAGTGTACAATCTATATTTTCAACACAAAAATACAATTATTTCCTTGGAACCAAAGGATGACCTACGTCTAAAGCCAAATCTAGCCACAGAGGAAGGGCAGCTGTCGGCCACAGCCTGCGTCCTTGGAAAATTTATTGCAGCCGTCATGTACTCAACCTCCAGACCATCCTCAGACCTGCTGCCTCTGCTTTCAGAGTGCGCCCGGAGGCCACATTCTTCTCACCACCTCCACCGCCCTCCCCTGGATTACTTCCCTCCCCTGGATTACTGCTGTGGCCTCCTAACTAACTAGGCTCTTGTTCCAGCCATGCCCACCCCCCAGCAGCTCTCCTCATCCACAACGACCCCCTTAAATCCTGCCCAACTGTCATTCTTGGGCTCATAACCCTTCTCATCTTCCTCGAAGTAAAAGGGAAACTCTTCCAGGGGTCCACAGGCCACCACAAGATCCATGCCTCGGCCCATCCCTTGCCTCTCTGACTGCATCTCCTCTTGCATCCCAGATCCGGGCCTCTGTGCTGTTCCTGAAGCCACCAAGAATGCTCCTGCTCAGGTCAGGACTCTGCACTTCGTTTCCCCCAAACCTGAGACAGTAGTGCTCTAAATATCCACAGAGCTCGCTCCCTCCCTTCCCTTTACTTCTTTCTATGGCACCCCTCATCATGGAACTGTCTTTTTTAATTTTATTGCTGATGTTCTCCTACTGATATTTACGTTCCCTGAAGAAAGGGACTTTTGTTTCATTTTCTGATGGCCCATAGTGGGCTCTTAACAAGGATTTGTTGAATGAATTAACAGTGCCTGAAATAGATAATGTTTATTACAATTTAAAATAACAGATATTTATCTGTAGGCACATTTCAACAACACATATATATAATTAAGAGACTGGTATATCTCTAGACACAGGTGTGTACCTATACAGTCTTCCTGAGATGTACAGACATATATAAAATACAATACAGAAAACATAGTAGTTCATGTGACCCCAACACCATCAACCACGTGGGGGACTCAAAAACCTTGATGAGTATCAGAGTCGCCACAGGAGCATACTAAATATAAAGATGCTTAGGTCCCACTCGCCAAGATTTTGATTCATTGGGTGCTATGGTCTGAATGCCTCCCCCCAAATTCATTTGTTAAAATCTTAACTTCCAAAGGTGAGGATATTTAGGAGGTAGGCCTTTGCGGATGCTTAGGTCTTGAGGTTGGAACCCTCATGAATGCGATCAGTGCCTTATAAAGGAGACTCCAAAGAGCTCCCTAGAATGTTTGACCATGTGAGCAAACAGCAAGAAGGGCAAGAGCTATGAATCAGGAAGAGGGCCCTCACTAGAAGGATACCATGTTAGCTCCTTGGACTTCCCAGCTTCCAGGAACTGTGAGAGGTAAACTTCTGTTGTTTTTAAGCTAGCCAGTCTGGGGTGTCTTGTTAGAGCAGACCAAATGAATTAAGACACGGAGTCTAGAGTAGGGCCTAGGCAGCTCTATTTTGGACAAGCTTCAGGGGTAATTCTGATGTATGCAACATTCAAAAGCCCCTGAAGCATATCATGGACATCTTGAGGAAAGAGCCCAGCCTGTTTTTGAATCACCCATAACTCCAGTTTGGGAGGGTGGCGGATGGCAGAGAGTAGGGCCATAATGACTATGTTATACTGATTTACTGAATTCATTGGCTTTTGACTCCATAAATGGGAGTTATTTATGGGCCAAGATACACAGTTTAAACACTGATCTAAGACTTTTTAAGTGTTCAGTTAGGACTTTATTAAAACACTACCTCAAGAATCATACGGAGCAGAAATGGATTTCAGACCCATCAATTTTCTATTGTAAATACCACAAAATGAGGCTGGGCCATATCCTCACCTGTTTTGAACCTGCACCTGAGCAATTTGGTGTAACTTCTAGATGACCGAAATAATGGCCTCCTGACAGAGCATGAAGAAAATAAACAGGATGTTTATGTCAACCCGGGGTCCTATTTTCATATCCCAGGAGTGACCTCAAGAAGCAGCTGAACGTGCTGACCAGTTATTGTCTAAACATTAATTACGCCCAAAGCAGCACTGTTGTTCATGAGTCTTGGCAAATGCACACTGACAACCAGATGGGGAACTCTGAGCACTGGTGCTCCGTGGACGAATTCACTGAGTTATGTGGGAGCTCATACTGTAGCTAACCTATACGGGCAGCTCAATGTGTTCAAAATGAAGTATTACCAGTACACTGTAGGAGATAAAATGTAACATAAGGAATCAACTTTGGAACCAAACAGACTTGGGTTCTAATTACAGCTCTGCTCCTTGATCCTGGGAAAATTACTCAAAGCCTCTTAAGATTCCATCAACTGTCTTTAAAACATGGCACAGTTTTGAAAATTAAATATGAAGATCTGAGAAAAGAGTAATGCCCAATAATTAATTTTCCAATGATAATGAATAGTACAAAACCATTACTGGGGATATTCATTTGTGTTTGGGGCTATCTTCCTGTTCCCACTCCAAGCAGGTGCCCGGCCTCTTGGTACAGACTCCCCCCATGGAAGTTGTGAAGTTCAAGTTGCTGATACACATGCCTGACTTCCTGGCTGCTCTTTTCTCCAAGCCAGAACTCCTTAGAGGAATTCTGTAAAGAAAGAGACAAAGAGAGATGATTCCTCCAAGTGAGGAAGAGGCCAAAAGTCTGAGGATCCTGCAACCAGCAAGGGCCAGCGGCAGAGCCTCACGAGGGATGACACCATGGTGCCCTGGGCACTGTGATTCCACACACTGCAGGTGCCTCACCTTGCACAGGCTCTGAGGTGCTGGGCTCAAGACTGGAAATCCCTCTCTTGTTTCTGCAAATATTTTAACATCTTGTTGGACTCTGCAGAGGTGAAGTGAGCCCAAAAAGGACTGAGAGGCTATTTCCCACCAGTCAGGCAAAGCAGAGTCTTAGCGGAATATTTAATTTTAATTGAAATACAAGAGAGTATAAGCCCAAGTTTATGGAGTAGTTTTTATGTCTACTATAGCAGGAATGGTGTTATCATTATTGTTATTATTTTTTTATTCCCCTCCTATGAGGTAGAAATAGGCATTTGGTGACTTCTGTCTTTAAAAAATATTTTAGGGGGCTCCTGGAGGGCTCAGTCAGTTAAGTGTCAGAACTCGGCTCAGCTCAGGATCTCATGGTCAGTGAGTTCTAGCCCCACGTCGGGTTCTGTGCTGACAGCTTAGAGCCTGGAACCTGCTTCAGATTCTGTGTCTCCCTCTCTCTCTGACCCTCCCCTGCTCACGCTGTCTCTCTCTCTCTCTCTCTCTCTCTTTCTCTCCCTCCCTCCCTCTCTCTCTCTCAGAAATAAATAACACATTAAAAAAGTATTTTAGGAAAAAAATTCTTTTAATTTTTTTTTAAATTTCTGAGAGAGAGAGAGAGAGAGAGACAGATAGACAGACAGCGTGAGCAGAGAAGGGTCAGAGAGAGAGGGAGACCCAGAATCTGAAGCAGGCTCCAGGCTCTGAGGTAGCTGTCAGCACAGAGCCCGACGCGGGGCTCGAACCCACGAATGGTGAGATCATGACCTGAGCCGAAGTCGGGCGCTTAACCGACTGAGCCACCCAGGCGCCCTGAGGAAAAAAATTCTAATATAAATTTTAATTTCTTGACTTGCTTTTAAATGATATTAACTTTGTATTTTATTATTTAAATTTTTATTCAAATTCTAGTTAACACTGTAATATTAGTTTCAGGTGTAATATGAGTTTCAGGAATGTGTTTCTTGGTTGTCTCTCTCTCTCCCCCCATCCCCATGTTCATCTGTCTTGTTTCTTAAATTCCACATATGAATGAAATCATATGGGATTTCTTTCTTGGACTTATTTCACTTAGCCTAATACTGTCTAGCTCAATCCATGTTGTTGCAAATGGTAAGATTTCATTATTTTTTATGGCTGAATAATATTGCATTGTCTGTATATACCTCATCTTCTTTATCCATTCATCAGTTGATGGACACTTGGGCCCTTTTCTTAATTTGGCTATTGTAGATAATGTGGCTATAAACATCAGGGTGCATGTATCTCTGAATTAG